CGTAGTTGCGATTCCCAAAACCTACTTTTGAGTTTCAGTCACCTTGCCCGAATGCCAGATTTTCCAACTACTTTGAAAATGCTCTCAGCATCTTTCAGCCAGGGGTGTAGTTTTCTATATAGGGGTGGCGGGGGGGGGGGGGGGGGGGGTCATGGGCCACATCCGGGAGGAAACGAGTTTGCTGGCGTACTTCCGGTGTAAGCCGAGTCGCTTTTCTTCATTCAGTCACCCCCCCCGCCCCCCACACACACATACTTGAAGACACATACCCCGCACACATGTTTTAAAAACGACCCCCTGCCTTCAGCTCAATCCAATGTCTTGTCCTGCCAGGTTTTCGATCCCGTGAGTTCGACACATAGATATTAGTGTCAGCGAAGACCGTCGGAACCCATGTGAAGCCTTCCAACTGCAAAATATTCTCCCACACTTCCGAATGACGCACGGCCACTGTATTGTACGCCATTCAATGTAATCACCACGCTATTTCTCACGGTGTCCGATTGGTCTCCTACAGCGCTGGCCATTATCAGGCCAATAAATAGGGTGTGGCACATGAGCAATCAATGTTCATCATCGCAGCCAATACAGATCACAAGGGAATGTGAGCGGCGACGGCCTGAACAATGGGCCATATCTGCTGACGGAGTAAATTTACCGCGAATGTCAGGCGCACGTGCCGGTGACGGTTCCGATCCGGCGCGTGACCCGCCTCGAGAGCAGACCAAACTTCTGGCGCGCGTGACTTGTGACAGTGGCGCGGCTCGAGAGCGAGTGCCGGCGCTCTCCGTGACGCGTCGCCAGATGGTCGCGTAAATCACGTCGCGCAGGGCGCCCCCGGCATGATGGCCCACTCGGCTGTTCTGGTCAGATCATGTAAAAAATCGTTGTATAACTTACATAATCGCTGGATCGTTTCGAAAATCGTTGCATCGTTCCCAAAATCATCAGATCATGTTTCGAAAATAGTTAGATCGCTTACAAAATGTTAGATCGGTCAAATAGCCGCTAGATCGCGAACGGCTTTTGGGAAAACGCACGTCAGGGACGACCGACTTGTGATTTGCTAGCCAGTTCCACGGGAAGGTTATGCACATCTGGAGCCATCTGGAAGCGTCTGGTTGGTTCGGGACGCGGGCGGTCGCTTGCAACCGTCACACGCAGGACGCCGTTCTCGGTGTGCAACGCTGGAATCCTTATCGTGAGCATGCGTGCTTGGCTCAATGACGGTTCGGCTTCAGTACCGCCGGCCACAGCCGCCGTGAGAATCTGTGACGGTGGTCCATTTGGCTGTTAAATTAGTTGAAAATGGTCCCAAAACTTTTAATTGCCCTTCGAGGGAGCATAAGAATCCGCCGATGACCAGTGCACCGGTCCAACTGAAGAATGTTTTTAACTCGTATCGCAGCTGAGGGAAGCAGCGACATGCGCTCATCAGCTGGAAGCCACCTATCAGCAGTCGATAGCCTCATTAGCTAAACCAAACAGGGAGAAAGAAACCGACCAGAAGCTGATCACACACTGTGCTCGCGGAAATGAAGATGAAATCGCTAACACCGTCGAATTTTGTTTTCGTGAAATAGAGCAGAAAACGTGATATTCGCAAAGCTTACGTAAAGAAAACAAATGATAAATGCAATTCATGATACGCTTTATCCATCGATTTAATTCTCATTTTTTCTAACGTGGATCGATTTCTTTTTGGGAGAAGAGCATGCAGCTCTCTGTCGCTTTTTAACTAAGAGAGATGGAGCCTTCCTGAAGATACCAGTGGAATGGTCTCGACGAAATCTGACGACTGGAGTGAGATTTCGTATTCCTAGGTCAATTAATTATGCTCTCTTTTGTCCAAGTTATGATCTCCACGCTAATCACAAGCTCACAGGCAGGTCAGGAAACGGAGCGAATGGCACCATCGGACACGTGGTCGCCAGCTCACCCCTAGACGGACGACTTCCGCCCGAGGCCTCCGTGGACCGAATAAAGCCGTGACCCCTAGACGGACGACTTCCGTCCGAGGCCTCCGTGGACCGAATAAAGCCGTGACCCCTAGACGGACGACTTCCGCCCGAGGCCTCCGTGGACCGAATAAAGCCGTGACCCCTAGACGGACGACTTTCGCCCGAGGCCTCCGTGGACCGAATAAAGCCGTGACCCCTGGACGGACGACTTCCGCCCGAGGCCTCCGTGGACCGAATAAAGCCGTGACCCCTAGACGGACGACTTTCGCCCGAGGCCTCCGTGGACCGAATAAAGCCGTGGGCGCTCAAACTAAAGGTGCAAATGCAATGATTCGGCAGCATACTTGAGGTAATTCAGCGTTAGGGTTTCGTTGCTAGCTTGCCGAGCCCAGTTCTCAACTTGATATATCCCGATCATGATGCCTTAAACTTCATCACAAGGGTGATTGCGATGTATGTAGCAGCCTTATGGATCGATAAGCATACCAGCCTAATGGAAACACAATGTTTAAGCGACTTTTATCAGGAAGTGGAAGAAAACTGAACGTCGGGCACCACCCAAGCGATATTTCTACATGGCAAAACGATTTCAGTTCATTCCAGCAATAGTTGCCACAGGACAAGTCATGTGGTTGACTTACACGAGTGCCAAACGGAATGTCAGGAAAGCTAGAGAGGGCTGCCATATTGCCTGGAGAAGAGGGCTGTAACATTGCGCGAGAGAGCTGCCATATTGGACAGAAGCAGTCGAACACGAAAGAGGACTGCCATGTTGGAGAGGGCTGCTATATTGGTTAGAGGAAGAGGGCTGCCATATTGGTTGGGGGAAGGGCTGTCATATCGGCTGAGAGGGCTGCCATATTGGTCGGGTGCACTCGCACCAGGAAGCCCGGTGACATCGTTAAGCGAAATGGTTCTCGGAATGCCTTGATTGTCAGGGGCGGCCACGGCGCCGATGCGCCTTGAGGGACATGACGTGTCAAAGTGCCCCAAACTTTCAGATTGAACAGCATATGACGTGTGCCGCGCCGGCATACGAGCGGAACGTCTGGGGAGTTGTCCATTATGAGTAGACCGCCGAATCTCAGAAATCGGCCGGCTCGGCCACTACGGCGAACTGTGAAAAAGGCACCCAGCATGAGACACATGTGCAGCACTAGCGAACCCGCCATCCATCGATAAAAAACGGGTACGTGGATCCTGGCTTGTCAGTGGTGAAGAAAGGTACCATTGGGAAGATAATTAAATGCCGACTTGCACCCGTGGGGGACTCCTGGGGGTGAGAGGTGTGCATGTATTTCACCCACGGGCTATTCAATTTTTACACATTTTACCGACCGAACAGCTTCGAAGTCTGTCGCCGCCACCCTACGATTCAAACAGCACTCAAAACCCATTCAACGTCTCTTTTGATGTGTAACTAGTGTTGCACGAAAATGATCGGGCGTCTGGTTGAACTTCGTTAAATCTTCGGCCTTTGGTTCCATATTTTGTGCCTATTTGTTCTCTAAAACATAACGCTCCATGCTACTGCACCAAATCGCTGCGTGAGGATGGAATACAATTTGCGGTGGCTGATAACCTTATTCCCCATTAAGCACTAAATGTAAATGTTTCAGTCACGCGCTGAGTCTCCGCTACCTGTAGAATATGCTGATACGCCGCAGAAAAGGTTTGAACAAGCCTCTTGCCCAAGCAGTCATCAAACATCTGATACTTTCCAGGATAAAAAGTAAACACAGCAGTGGTTGTAACATGCTGCAGCATGCTCAAGCGAAATTACAGATGCACGCGCTGTTTTTTCCCTTTGCATTCTCCACGAGCTTACTTGAAAAAACGAACTTCCAACATCTCTAGCCTCTTGCGTGGTTAATGACCAAACAGTGGAGTTGGAAAGCACGCCATCCAACACTTAATCGCTTTTACACTTCTGTGTGAACGCCGAGTTCTCATGCAACTCGAAACCAACATGTTCTCGCTTCCTGTGGGTGACTGAGCACGCAAGAGGCCTTTGAGTGCACACGTCAGCAGAGGGGTTCAATCCTGGCCACGCCTCACTTATTACATGGCCGGTGTTTCGTGCATATTGGACGAATGCTCGTGTGAGCGATATGTCCTGCGCGCCTCCTGAGCACGATATTATTGTTTTTTCGGGAGGAGAGTTTTAAATTCAGTTGAGCAGTAACTAGGAACGTGATATTGTTCAGCCCTTGTATGCTTTTTGTGGGATTTTTGGCTGCATTGTTTAAGCTGTAAGTAGAATTATGCGTGCGCCAAGATCCCAGACTTTGATCCATATATTGAATCATCAATTTTAATGTCTCAGATCCTGCCGAATCAAGGATCTAGTTAAAAACATTGCTGAAAAATCGCCTGTAAACCAGATTTGCAGTCCATATTCTACTACGTTACATCTGGAATTTCGCATGGGTATATTTTTGCGTTGTTGATATTTAAATTCTAGTTCCTGACAGCTTCAGGATTTGGAAACCATCTGAAGAAGCTGTCGAAAGATCTGCTGGGCTCCAAGATTCAGTCCATAACTTTGTATAACGACCCTTTGGAATCCGGGCTATTAAAGGGCAGACTTAACAGAACAGGTCTCATCGGCCGCGCAGCTATGTTTGTCTAGACACGACGCACCTGTGGCGAAACTAAGGAAAAGTCATGGAGCTTTACACCCCTCTCGCCACGTCGGGCCCGAACACATGTTTTCATTATGACACAGCTTAACGTAATTCCGGAATCTGGTGATCAGGAAAACTATGTTGGTTTCAAATCCCATAGGCATTGCCGTGGACAGCGACATGTAAGGCCCAACAGCCGTAGTATAGTAACAGGACTAGCGGACAGCCGAGACAACATGCGTGGTACGCAGCTGAAAGAATTCTGCGAGACACCAGTTAAAACCAATGCAGGTATCTCATTGATACTCTAAGACTACCTTTAAGCGTTTTATACCGAGCGTAACACAGAGCTTCGGGTGACGTTACTGGGTTTGCATTCGACGGGGCCGACCCTGCGCCGGACGTCACTGACCTTGCGCTTGTTGTGGAGCAGCACAGCGTCCCTCTGGTTGTCGGCGTTGCCGGGCACGTGTGACCCCCACAGCTCGCAGCCCACCCGGCAGTAGCACCAGGAGATGACCAGCAGCGGCAGGAAGTACTGCGGGCGGGAGCGACAGATGACCAGCAGCGGCAGGAAGTACTGCGGGCGGGAGCGACAGATGACCAGCAGCGGCAGGAAGTATTGCGGGCGGCAGCGACAGATGACCAGCAGCGGCAGGATGTATTGCGGGCGGGAGCGACAGATGACCAACAGCGGCAGGAAGTATTGCGGGCGGGAGCGACAGATGACCGGCAAGGGCAGGAGGTATTGCTGACTGTCGCGACAGATGACCGGCAAAGGCAGGAGGTACTGCGGACTAGAGCGACATATGACCAGCAACGGCAGGAGGTACTGTGGACGGGAGCGACAGATGACCAGCAAAGGCAGGAGGTACTGCAGACGGGAGCGACAGGTTCGGCAGGAAGTACTGCGGACAGGAGCAGCAGATGACCCGCAGCGGCAGGAAGTGCGCCAGAAACGTCGCCGAGAACTGAAATGAGACCTGTCACTGAAAACGGGTACGGCAGACGAGGAATTAATCAACGAAGGGCGAAAGTACAGCGGGCAGGACAGGACATGACCAGCAGCACCAAACAGTTTCACAGACAGGAGTACCATATGACCGGCAGTGACAAAAGTGTCGTGGCCAAGAATACCACATGGCCGGAAATGACAGGAAGTGATGCGGACAGGAGCAGCACATGATCGACAGTGACGGAAATTGTCCCGGACAGGAGCAGCACATGATCGACAGTGACGGAAATTGTCCCGGGCAGGAGCAGCACATGATCAGCGGCATCTGGTCGGAGCGGTACGATGAGTTTGGTGCGCTGATGAACATGGGATTACTGTGAGCGCAGTGCTGCGTCAGGCTCTGTTCTTCCCTCCCACATCTAATATGTGTAACCCAGGAAAATGTACCCAAGATGTTATCAACTATGTGCTACTTAACTCATACATTGGACACACGTGCTACGCCATACAGCGCAGCGGCAACTGCAACGTAGTGACCTTGTGACTTCAACGTCCTCACCACAAGTATGCGTAACAACAGCAAGCGTTTTGTTATGTTCTTTTTCTGGTACTGCGTTTGTTCTAACTGCGTTAGAAACACTGTAATGCAATTCCACATAGAAACCCCTGTTCCAAAAGCTGCGTTCGCGTGCCCAGCAGGCTTCCAAACACTATCAGCAGTGATCCCGTGATCTTCATGAAGCCGCACAGGTTTTCCGTGGCGGCCATCTGCCTTACCTGGCAGGCAACCCGCGCGTGGAAGTACACGTCCCGCGATGTCTTGTCCACGCCCTGGTAGTCGCAGTATCGCTGGAACAATCATAACCGGTTAGTCTTGGGAGGAGAAACGTCAATGACTGCAGCATAGGCGAGCTGAGATATTTCACAACGGAGAGGCGTTATTTTTCGTGCGGCTGGTTGGTTCTCAATGCCTGGAGGCGCCCTGTGAAGCTGTAGTGGAAAGCTGCTGCCGTTAGATTAATTGTGTATGTTGTGATTTATGAGATACCGTCAGTATTTGATGACGATGCCATCCGCTGGTAGCTGCTTGTCGATTAATGAGTCATCGTAGCACACGATACGCAATGCGCAATAGATAAGACCATTATCTGTCCTATTTACGCCCAGAAAACTTTGTTTAAAATCTTTGCTGGAAGCTGATTCGGTCCGATGAGCATCTCGCACTTGCATCGTGCTGATTTCGAAGCATCAAGCATGTCGTTCTGGTTGATGCGTTAGATTGGAGATAATAGTGTTGTTTACCTGATTTCGCACGCTCTTCGCCGCCGTCAGTGCTCTGGAGAAGTGTCGAGATGCCTAAACATGACTCAGGCATCGTCTTGAGTGCTTGGGCCGGTTGGCTCATCGCGGCCGCTGATGGGGTTAGTTTCAGCGTTCCTTCCACCGCGCCTGTGATCCCATGATCTAATTTTCGGCTTGGAAAAAGCAAAATAGAGAACGGTAACCCATGCCATCCCCGCCCATTGCTACTAAATCGGCATAGCTGACGACGTGACGGGTCAGGTCGCAAGGCTGACGACGTGACGGGTCAGGTCGCAAGGCTGACGACGTGACGGGTCAGGTCGCAAGGCTGACGACGTGACGGGTCAGGTCGCAAGGCTGACGACGTGACGGGTCAGGTCGCAAGGCTGATGACGTGACGGGTCAGGTCGCAAGGCTGACGACGTGACGGGTCCGGTCGCAAGGCTGATGACGTGACGGGTCAGGTCGTAAGGCTAATGACGTGACGGGTCACGGCTACTTTTTGACATGTTCAAAATATTTCAACGTATTTTGAGTTTTGCAGTTTTAGTAATAATTCTCACAACTTTGAGATCGGAATGAATTGAAAGGTACTCTTTTCCGGAAACAGGCCATGCATTGACGCCCACAGTCGTGACCTTAGTTAGTCATCGGTTAGTCAACAGTAAGCTTAACGACTTATGGTTAATGGTTAATGGTCACTTAATGGTCAAAAGCCGAAGGGGGCGTTCAAATTAGTTCTATTCACCAGGTGTCCCTCCGTGATAATGGCGCTTCATCTCGTCTTCTCTCTCTTCATCTCCTATCTTCATCTCTCTCTCTCTCTCTCTCTCCTCTCTCTCTCTTCTCTCTCTCTCTCTCTCTCTCTCTCTCTCTCCTCGCTCTCTCTCTCTCTCCTCTCTCTCTCTCTCTCTCTCTCTCTCTCTCTCTTTCTCTCTCTCCTCTCTCTCTCTCTCCTCTCTCTCTCTCTCTCCTCTCTCTCTCTCTCTCTCTCTCTCTCTCTCTTCTCTCTCTCTCTCTCTCTCTCTCTCTCTCTCTCTCTCTCTCTCCTCTCTCTCTCTCTCTCTCTCTCTCTCTCTCTCTCTCTCTCTCTCTCTATCTCTCTCTCTCTCTCTACTCTCTCTCTCTCGTCCTCTCTCTCTCTCTCTCTCTCTATCTCTCTCTCTCTCTCTCTCTCTCTCTCTCTCTCTCTCCTCTCTCTCTCCTCTCTCTCTACATATATATATATATATATTCTATATATATATATATATATATACATCGAATTGCAAGCCGACGTCACCTGCGCATTGCCCCAGAATCCGCCCACAGTGTTCCTTTTACCGCTCCAGAAACACCTGATTGGTATTTACTGGTAACTTGATTCGGATTGGTATTTACTGGTAAGATGACAATAATCACCAGATGCGCAAGCATAAGATTAGTTCAATACTATCACCAGCGTCAGTGCACCATTGTGTTACTCTTCTTACAGGTATTCCTTATCTGCCTGTGATGGGCCTGAATATTCCATTGAAAAGGTTTCTATACAAGGTTTCATGTAACTGGGCAACCGAAAGCGTATTGCAGCAAGGTATTCTTCTCCAGTGGTACCACATGCTAATACGGCAATGCATGG